CCCCAAAACCCCAAAACCCCAAAACCCCAAAACCCCAAAACCCCGAAATAATACGATTCATAGAATATGTAGAAGTCATAAATAAAGAGTTTATAATCAATATTAATAAAGAGAACAGAAGAATCTCAAAATGAATCTATAGTCATACCTCGAAAATAAATTTTCCTAAATTATGATCTACCATAGCTTCGCTCACTTTGAGAAGAGCTCAATAGCTAAGATCCCAGACCACCACCTCCCAATTATCAGAATTGTGCTTGCTGTGATTGTTTTCTTCTGCATGATACTCCAAGGACTATCAAACCCATCTGGCACAGCCATTTACAAGAGACTCTTCACAGATTTGGAATTTTATGCAACCTTCTTTGCCATACTTGGCTTACTTATGGCACACAGAGCTTCAAAAGTTCCATCAGACAAAGAGATCGTTAGAACAGTAGACTTAATGAAAAAGAAAAACGCTTTGATAGTGAATTCAATAGCAATTTTCCTCAATATCTTTTGCTCTCTCATTTACTTCGTCTTCCAACCAATCGTCTATGGAGCTAGAGACTTCGAGGCTAGCGTAAAGGACAGCATCTTCAACAGTATTGCCTATTCTGTTGCTCTCTTCTCAGTGCTATTCCATTTCGCCTGTTCTAGATTCGCTCTCCTTGACTAAGACTCTTATTACATTTTATTAGTTCTCATGTTCTGGACTGCAATGAATCTATTAATCCAAGGAAACGGACTCTTCTTTAAAGATATTAAGGACGACTCTCTGCTTATCAAGACATTCCTTGCCAGTTTCATCATGCTAGCAAGCATGTGCTTCTACTACCTTCTCACTGTTACTTCTCAGTACATCAAGGGCTACAAGGAAAAGCACGAGAAGCACAATCTCCACGATCAGAGCCATAAACTGATTTAAAACTACAAGGACCAACCATGAATGAATACACTTTATTGATTTTATTTTCATCAGATTCTTATTGTAAGTATTATAATTGGTCTGGTGGGGTTTTGGGGTTTTGGGGTTTTGGGG